AAGGGAAAAATGGAGGAAAAACCCTCTTATCTCAAAATTTTATTCAGTCACAAACTCTTGCGCTTTATTTGCCATCTCCACTCAGAGCTCCATTACAATTGTTGGGAGGCATTCTATATTTTCTAGTACTTTATAGTTAGCTGGTAGATATATTTAGTATGTTTATGAAATAAGCCAATTATATCATTTGGTATATCATTTCTGTGATATTAAAACTCTCTTTATAATCTTTGGTTTCTTCAATTCTAATTTGCTATTTATTCAATTCATATTACATGCTCAACATCGCTCGGCATCAGGGAAATCCAAATCAAAACCTCAACGAGATACCACCTCACACCAGTCAGAATGGCTAAAATTAACAAGTCAGGAAACGACAGATGTTGGCGGGGATGTGGAGAAAGGGGAACCCTCCTACACTGTTGGTGGGAATGCAAGCTGGTGCAACCACTCTGGAAAACAGTATGGAGGTGCCTCAAGAAGTTGAAAATAGAGCTACCCTATGACCCAGCAATTGCACTACTGGGTATTTACCCCAAAGATACAAATGTAGTTATCCGAAGGGGTATGTGCACCCCAATGTTTATAGCAATGTCCACAATAGCCAAACTGTGGAAAGAGCCAAGATGTCCATCAACAGATGAATGGATAAAGAAGATGTGGTATATATACACAATGGAATATTACGCAGCCATCAAAAAAACACAAAATCTTGCCATTTGCAACAACGTGGATGGAACTGGAGGGTATTATGCTAAGCGAAATAAGTCAATCAGAGAAAGACATGTATCATATGACCTCACTGATATGAGGAATTCTTAATCTCAGGAAACAAACTGAGGGTTGCTGGAGTGGTGGGGGGTGGGAGGGATGGGGTGGCTGGGTGACAGACATTGGGGAGGGTATGTGCTATGGTGAGTGCTAATGAAGGGGGGGATATCGGAGAGGGAGACGAACCATGGGAGACTATGGACTTTGAGAAACAAACTGAGGGTTTTAGAGGGGAGGGTGGTAGGGGGATGGGTTAGCCCGGTGATGGGTATTAAGGAGGGCACATATTGCATGGAGCAATGGGTGTTACACGCAAACAATGAATCATGGAACACTCCATTAAAAAATAATAATAATAAATTAAAAAAAAAGAACCCATTACATGTCAGCTACCTTGCTGGATGAAAACATGGAACAACAACAACAAAAATAATGCCTCTCTCAAAATGCCCTTTGTAGTGGCGGGGGGACACACAGAAAAATCACTGGATAATTACAAAGAACGCGTTAAGAGCTATAATAGTGGAATGCATAAAAAAGAGCAAAGAAGAGAGGGCCACTAACTCTGGGGAGATGAGAAACAGGTTCACAGAAGAGTGAGTTTTGGGTTGGGTCTTGAACAATAAATGGGTATTCAAGTAGTGAAGGACAGGGATGGGTGAGGCGGAATTCCAGAGTAGGGGGTTATAGGAAGAAGAGCAACTCGGAGAGCAAGGTGCCTACGAAGGCCCAGAGAGTGAGGACATATGTGGTGGTGGATGGAGAGGCTGTCTGCATGTGGGAGTAGGGGAGATAGGAGCCAGATATAAGACTAGAAAGATTTGCGTTTTGAGCTTCAAAAAATGTACCTTCTTTTAGAGATTTTTAAGCAGAGAAGAAAAGTAGATGTCGGAGGGGGACTCAGAACGGAATAGAGAGAAAGAGAGAGTCAGAGAGAGAGAGAGCACAAAGTCTTAGCAGCAAGGAAACGAGAACGAGAATCTAATCTGCTAAAAATTGAAAAAAAAAAGAACACTCTTTTTCTGCTTTAAAGTTAGAATGATCAGATTATCCTTAAAATGTCTTCTGAGTACCTTAGAAATATATATTACTACATATAAAAGAGTGAGACATCTCTACACTACTACACTGAAAAAAAAAAAAGAATACTTCTTTTTCTGCTTCATAGAATGATCAAGAGATTGCAACAAACCTTTCCAGTCTTACACCACCACACTAGCTCAGGCCCTTATATTTCTCATGTGGTATAAATTTTTTAACTAGGATTTGACCAGATCTTACCACTTCTAATTAACGGTGACACCATTAATTTAGATTGGGATGTTAGAAGAGCACTATTTTTTTGTTTAATATAAGAGTTCACTTTTGGGTATCACAGGTGGTGGTGCCTATAAGACTATTCAGGAGATATTTCTTGCAGATTACTGGAAATGTTTTTCTGAACATATTCTTTAGCCCTTTTTTGGGGGGTGTGGACTGGGGTTGAGAATGGAAGGGTTGGGGGTCAGAGATTGATTTATTGCTCCACCATTTAGTAAACATCATAAACCTGCATATTCTTTGTAATTCCTACCAAACATTTTAAAATTATGTCTTGTCCTCTTATCTTTTTAGAAATTCAGTGATCAAATATATAATGGAGTACTTTTCATGTGCATGCAATTCTGTAAGGTCCTACAGGTGCTACAATGGGGTAAGTATAACTTACCATCTAGTTCAGGCAAGTAATAAATCCAAATATATAAATGATAATAAGACAAGTCATATAAATATACTATAGTATAATAATTTTATTGGACAGGAGAAGATTAACAACAGGGTAGCAAACAACTCCATAATCTCAGTGGCTTAACAGAACCAGAAAGTTTATTTTTCACTCATAAGCAGTGTGCTGTGGGCCCAGGAGATTCTCCAGGACAGCTGTCTTCCTAGTGTTGGCTCAGCATTCTGGGCTTTGATCATGAGCAACCTCCATATGGATAGGTTTCCGTGATGACCACTGGAGGGAAACAGTGGGCTGGAGGGGCAACTACTGGCAATTAAATGCTTCTACTGAAGATGTGACCCAAGTCACTTCACTGCCAAAACAAGTCTTATGACCCATGCCTAAATTTAAGGGGGGCAGAGAAGAGCTATCTTCCCATGTGCCAGGATGCAGAGAGGACTGGATAGTGGTTGACAGTAATAATACTGCAAAGTAAGATAAATATCGCAAAAAAGTTACAAAGAAAAGGCTAAAGGCTGAGCAGGAGGCAATCACAGTTAGGATGTCATGTGACAAAAGATAATTCTGCTTTTCTGTCAATGAGTGGGAGTTTATTGCTTCACTTTCTTTTACCATTAGGAAATGGTCTGCTGGGGTTTCAAATTCAATCCTAGCTCCCAAACTGGTTGAGTTGGTAGAACCAACCCACAAGATTTCCAAGCTCTCCTCATCCCACAGATAAACCTAGATAACACCCACAGCAGTGTAAATAACCCACAAGATTTCCATGCTCTCCCCAGATCTTTGCTCTTTTCTCCCCCTTTTTCTGGATCCCACATATGTGGCCTAGGGAAATGTAATTTGTAGAAGAGAGTTACTGGTAAGGTTCTAGAAGGTTTCAGTCTATATTCCAGGAACTTTTCACTGCATCTTGAAGACATGGGTCTATTTTGCACAAAGATGAGGTGGAGTGGTTAAACCAAGTGACTAAACCTCAACAATTAACAAGGTCTCCATCTTGGAGCTTAGATGCGTATTTACAAGAGAACCATCATAGTGCAACCAGAAATTCAGCATAGTAATAATGGCAACTGATCATAGTCATCTTACATAAATAGGATAAAAAATAACTCCAGGACTTTACAGAAAGTGAGCATACCATTAAACTAAAAACAATAAGAAACCTTTGGGTTTTGATTCCTTGGTAAGTACTTTGGGGAAAATTGGGAACTTACAGTGTCTTTCCCATTTATTTTGTTTACTTATCTAATTCTTCATTATAATTCGGTAAGAGCAAAAATAACGAGAATCTAATTTGCTAAAAATGAATAAAAAAAATACTTCTTTTTCTGCTTTAAAGTTAGAATGATCAAATTATCCCTAAAATGTCTTCTGAGTACCTTGGAAATACATATTACTACATATAAAAGAGTGAGAAATATCTACTCTACCTCCGGACTGGGCGTATATAATGGATAGAATAGGATTCTTTTGGGTAGTATTTGGAAATAAGATTCAGAAATTATCATGCAGGCTTCAGAAAGAGCTGAAACCATGCAAATACTGTTCATAAAAAAGAAATCCCAAGCCCGCTGGAGAGGGGCCCCCTCGCCAGGGGGCAGGAGGGAGGCGCAAGGGGACGGAGAGGTCGGCGACCCGGGAGAGGCTGTGTAGATCCGGGCAGTGCCCGCGCCCGCGCCCGCAGCAGGACTGTTGCCCCAGGGGCTGGAGGAAGAGGCGGAGAGGCGACTTCACGGAAAAAAAAAAAGAAAAAAAAGAAAAGCTTTTACCGGCGACGCTCTCCGCCCGCCGGACGGGAGGCGGGGTAGCAGCCCGATTAAAGTAGCAGCCTGGAAGGAAGGAAGGAGCGAGGGAGGGACGGGAACTGTTGGGAGGAGGAGCCGCGAGCTGGGTCGCGGCGACAGCAAGGGGGAGCGGCCCCGCGTGGCCACGTTTTGGTTTTGTTGTTTTCCAGTGGACCAGTTCTCGCAGGCCCTTCCCCAGGACTGATCGCGCCGAAGCCCGGCGACCCCGACCTTCCAGGTGACAGCCGGTCACCCTGGTAGGAGTCAGCTCCGCCCCAAGTCACCCGCCCGCCCACAGCCCATTCCCCGCCCAGCCGCCGTCTGGCTGCCCCGGGCGAGCGCGGCGGCCGCAGCGGCTCTGCGGCGCTGGAGCGGGCGGCGACGGGCAGCGGCGCGGGGCCCAGGGCGGAGGAAGGAGGAAGTGAGGCCCCCTAGGCGCTAGCGCGAGGAAGGAGGATGACGATTTAACCCGCGCTCTCCTGCCAGTCGGGTTACGGGGCGCCTCCGCCGTGCCCGCCGCGGGAGCCTCCAAGCCGCGCCGGGGGGAGTGCCGCATGGGGCAGGGCCGCTGAAGCGCGGAGTTCGTGGTCTTGCCGTGCCAAAGAGGGCGCGGGGGTCGGGTGCGGCAGTTGGCACAGTTTCGGCGGCGCCTTCAGCGCGGGAGTTGGGAGCGCGGCACGCCTACCCGGCCGCCTCGGTGTCTTCGTGAGGCGCGAGTTATGGAGCCCCCCAGCTGCATTCAGCATGAGCCGTTCCCGCACCCTCTGGAGCCCGAGCCGGGCGCCCCTGCGCAACCGGGCGCCGGGAAGCCGGGCGACAAACGGTTTCGGCTGTGGTACGTTGGGGGGTCGTGCCTGGACCGCAGGACCACGCTGCCCATGCTGCCCTGGCTCATGGCTGAGATCCGCCGGCGCAGCCAGAAGCCCGAGGCGGGCGGCTGCGGGGCGCCGGCCACCCGCGAGGTGCTCTTGGTGCTCAGCGCGCCCTTCCTGCGCTGTGTCCCCGCTCCCGGCGTCGGGGCCGCGGGGGGCCTCGGGGCGCCTCGTGGGGGGCCGCGGGGCCCCCCGGGGCCCCGGGTCGACCAGCGCTCCGGCCGGCGGGGCGCGGGCCGCGGGGGGCCGCGGGGGGCCTCGGCCCCGCGGCGGCGCAGCCCAACCCGGCGGTGTTCATCTTCGAGCACAAGGCACAGCACATCTCGCGCTTCATTCACAACAGCCACGATCTCACCTACTTTGCCTACCTGATCAAGGCGCAGCCCGACGACCCCGAGTCGCAGGTGGCCTGCCACGTTTTCCGCGCCACAGACCCCAATCAGGCAAGACGGCGGCTGGAGGCGCGGGGGAGGGTCCGGCGCACTGGGGAGGAATAGCCGGGCTGGAGACACTGGGGCGCCTCAGGAAGGGCGAAGGGCCGACTGACTGTGGTCGGGCTGCTAGCGCGCGCCCTCCACGTGGCGCGCTCGAGCGTCCGCTCCTCCCGTCCCAAGGACCAGGAGTCGCGGAGCTAGCGTTCGAGGGTGGCCGGGGTGGCGGGAGCGGACCCCGCGCGGGAGCAGGAGAGAGGGAGGGAGGCGGAGAGTGGTCCCGGGGTGGTGGAGGAGCGGGAGCGCCCCAGGAGGACGCGGCGAGCAGCGCGCGTCTTGGGAGGACTGCGGTGTTTGGGGTGTGCCTGGAGGAGGGAAGCTGGCTTTGGCCTTGTGTTTGCGTCTGTACGTGTGTGAGAGGAGACACTGGAGAGGGTTGGGGTCCTCAAGGCCCTGCACTCACTCTCCGGCTTGGTCGAGTCCTGCACCTTAACCCACGTGGAACGTTGAGTCCTAGTTACAGCAGCACCTGCAGGACTGGGGGCTGTGAGGCTATTTGGGAGCAGGGTTTAGGGAAAAGTTGGTTGACAACGATGTCAGATTGTCAGCAAGTACGAATCTGCATTTAGATGTTGAGGATGTTGAGTGGAAAGAAAACTTTTTTTTTTTTTGCAGTTTTTTTACGCACTAATTGGAGACAGAATCAATACCAGCTTGGGTGATTTAAAAAGCAGTGTCGTAAAAGAGGCCAAAATCTGTTTTATAATATTTTTCCAAAGTCTACTAAATTGAGGTGTCTGTTACCAAACAGTGCATTTTTACTTCCTTAAAAACAGGCACGCCCCTATATCTAATGGCTAGGGGAATCTAAACAAAACTTTATAACAGTGATTGTGTCTTTGAAAACTGGTTTTAAAATAAAAGTGTAAAGAGTTTTTACTATGTGATAAGCCCCCAAAATGCTATTCTAAAAATAGCTCTTTAATGTTTGCAAAGTACTTTAGATTCTTTAGAAAAATAATGTTGTCTAAATATAAATAAAGTCGCAGTTGCAACATGTGGCAGTTCCTTTGATAGCTGGGGAATTAATAATAGTCAAAGGAGAAAAACATCCTGCAAATAAGGCTTTTTTTCTTAATTCATTATTTTAGTATCTGTCATTGAAAGTTTTTTACAAAAGGCCCGTGGCTGAATTGAAGAAAATAAAAGCTCATTGTCTTCGATGTCATCAGTTATTTTGTAAGCTATTTAATACTTTAACATTCAGAACTCCCAGTATGAAGAGAGCAATTTTAACTTATATGACTGCAGTTAGGTGTATGTTAAAATACCATTTTTACAAATTGTCTCAACATTCCAACCATGATTAAAATGAATTTCACTTTGTGCTTATTTGTTCAAAGCTTATTTTTTAGCTTTCACCTCTGTTGGGAGTGCAGCATGTTCTTTATATTTGGAAGTTATCACTAATTTTATTGTATTAAGATTTTTGGTTTCTGTCAATAAGGAGGAAGAAATTGCATTTTCCCAGGACTGTAAGGAATGTTTTATGATTTTGGGTAGTTTATGTTAAAGTTATTTTCTTCAGATCTGATATATGACACATCATGGCTAATTTCATTGATGGTCAAAGTTTGCTTATGGGTCATGGCACTTTGAATTCTTGACAGTTGAGTCCTTCCCAGATTCGTTGTTAGGGGATCAATTAAAAACATGCCCCCCCCCCACTTTTTAACCTTAATTATGTATTTAGGTGTTTGAGGCTGAATGTGCTGTTATTTTACAAATAAAAACATGCTTAGTCTCATTTCTCCCTTTTGATCCCGTAGGAACAGTGGCAACCATATGTCCTTTTGATAAAAGAGAAAAAAACCCTAACTTTTCCTGTTTATTGCCATTTCCCTGTTGAGTCTTTGATCTAAAGATACGGATTCTAGTTTACTCTGAACCTAGAGAATCCCTGGTAGAGGATCCTTAATTTGAAGGGCCAGATGGTTATTCCATGAAGGATTATCTCCAGCCATATATCAGGGTTGCAAACTCAAATGCCTGGGATTTGGTTGAGTGAGGTGGAGGTTGAGTGAGGACCGAGGACCATGGAGTGATGGTCATTTCTCAGGGAGTTACTCAGCACCAGTTTCAAATTGCATTAACAAGATACAAGCCTAGTGTTGACAGAGCCTCTGATTTCCTAAGAGTGGAAGTCTGGATTTTTAGGTATGACTTCATATTTTAAAACATTAGCAAATGTTTTAAACATTTAAGATTCCTATCTGGACCCAACAAAACACATCTGAGGTTTGGATTCAGAGATTTAAGGGCTGCCATTTTGTTTTTCATAAATATTTGTTGAATGGACAAGTACAATCATCAGACACTGTGTGCTTTTTGCCACTCTTCCATTTGGGCATCTGGATTCACTTGATGTGGCTCTCATAGTAAGCGTAGGGCCATTCTAGGGGAAGAATTTATAAGTAATATTCTCAGAAGTGGTGTTTCTACAGCTGAACTGTTTAAAGGGATATTCCTCACATTGTTTCCATCTAGGGATATGCTTCATATAGAGTAGGCTCTGGATGGTCCTAGGCATCTTTGAAATCAGAAGGAAAAAGACCTACTGTTTGCTTTGCTCCTGAGTTCTAAATTTGAAGGGGAGAATTCTTTAGTTGGACTTTAAGATCATTGTTAAGAGTCTCCGGTCACTGAAGAAAGTATGGATGGTAGCCTAGAGGAGTAGGCCTGCAAACATCCATGAATAAATTTGCCTTTGGTTTGTCTCTCATGTCTGTCCCTTTTCTGAAATGGGCCTGTCTGTAGGATGGCCATATAATTCAGTGTTTGATCTAGGGTGATTTTTTAAAAAAAGATTTATTTATTTATTAGAGAGAGAGAGAGCACGTGTAAACAGGGAGAAGGGCATAGGGAGAAAGAAAATTTAAGCAGCCTTGCCGCTGAGCGTGGAGCCCAACCTGGGGCTTGATTTCAGGACCCTGAGATCATGACCTGAGCCAAAATCAAGAGTCGGAGTCTTAGCTGACTGAGCCACCCAGGTGCCTCTAATCTAGGGCAACTTTTATTGAGAATAGGGACACCACTAATAATTACACAAACATAACAAGTATAAACCTGGACCGTGTAGGGCAAACCAGGATATACGGTGACCACAGCTAAATGGCAAAGTTTGTGTTTATGCCTAGCCACTGAGATGGGGGATTGTAGTTTCCATATAAAAAATGATAAGGTTTTGCAGACTATCTGCTCATATCTTTTGGGGGCTGGATCTACATGTGACCTCTGAGATGGCAGAGCTGTGTTAGTAGCTTGGGTCTGTTGTGGGGAGTTGCCATGGTGATGTGCCCTCTGGCTCCCCCTCTCTTGGTTGGTCAGAGTCAACTTAAGGATGTGGGTCTAAAGGAGCACTCAGCCAGAATGGCCTAATGAAGAGCTATTTCTCCCAGGTGCAAAGAGAGGTGGAAGTCAGGAGCAAACCAACCAGTTCCAGATCAAATATATGCCTGTGCAGATTGGTTCCCATTTATTCAAGCCTGTGTGGTCCTGCACAGGAGGAATGTCAGCTTTAGTACATTCCAGCCAAACTTGGATATTTGAATTAGTGAAAGTACTTAACTGTACATAATTAAAAAAATCCCACTGGCATAAATTGAGTTATAGATTTAAAACTGGTTGAGGAATCAAGAATATCTGATTCTCTATCTAAGATCTGGGGTAGGTCACTAATATTCTTCAAATTTTTATCTTTATCTACTTTCAGAAAGAGACTATGTAGCATTATCTCAATTTCCCAATTAAAAAGCAGAAATTATTCCAAGTTATGTCTATTTTACCATATGAAAAAAAGCAAGAGTTGTTAGTGTTTATAAATATTGTTAAGAGATTAAAGGTGTTAATTATCATTTGCATGAGGCTCTGCATGAAAATTATATTTCAAGATTATAGAATGAGCAATCATTTAAAAAACAAAAACATGATTACTATAATTTTTGTTGATTTTGTTTATGTATATATTTCCTGAAGCTTGCAAGAATGTAATTTCAAAGAGATTTTATAATTTGTGTTCTTAAAATTCTTTTTTTTTTTTTAATTTATTTGACAGAGAGAGACACAGCAAGAGAGGGAACACAAGCAGGGGGAGTGGGAGAGGGAGAAGCAGGGAGCCCGATGCGGGGCTCGATCCCAGGACCCTGGGATCATGACCTGAGCCGAAGGCAGATGCTTAACGACTGAGCCGCCCAGGCGCCCCATGTTCTTAAAATTCTTTTTTTTTTTTTAAAGATTTCATTCATTTGTTTGACAGAGAGAGACACAGCGAGAGGGAACACAAGCAGGGGGAGTGGGAGAGGGAGAAGCAGGCCTCCCGCTGAGCAGGGAGCCCAACTTGGGCCTGATCCCAGGACCCCGGGATCATGACCCAAGCTGAAGGCAGACGCTTAACGACTGAGCCACCCAGGCGCCCCATTCTTAAAATTCTTAAAAATGAACTTGACACCAGTTTATTTGAGCTCTAAGTTCTCTAAATCTGTAATATTTTTGTTCCTCATAAAATATTTATTATTTTCTGAGCTTTATTCAGGTAACCGATTTTCAATTTACTTCTGTTGATAGTTTTCAAAAGGGGCCCTTTCTCAGAAGTTCTTACTCATAGCTGATGGGAATATACTAGTCAGGAAACAAAAGAAATAGAAATCTGGAAGTTTTCACATTTCTCTCCCTGCTTTCTGAGTAGTCTGTGCCATTCTAGACAGGTAGATCTCTCTCCCTTCATGTTTGCTGTAGTTGCTTTTTTGTTGTTCCCCCACCCCCTGTCCTGATTTGAGTTGGAGGTTGATTTGCGCTGGCTCCGTTCCATGGTAGAATCTTGACCTTGGTATCTGGGGGAAAGGTAAAAAATGTGTGCCCAGAGCCTCCCAGTTGTGAGGCAGTGTTAGTTATAGTGAAGATTGAGACTGGTCAATATTTGGGCTTATTTATCATAAGCCAAAGCTCTGGTTCTC